TGGTCCCTCCTATATTTCAAATATTCTTGCTAAACTACTGAACTTAGGTGATATTTTGAAGCCGTTTTCGTTTGACTAATAACATATCATTTTAAACTCAAATATAAACGATTTTTGAAGCTTTTTTTTTAATGAAAATGTTCAGCTAGAGTTTCTCTTTCTATATTTGTGAGTTTCAAGCACAATTTCAATTCATATTGATACGATAACAAAGGAGTTACGATATTGAGTCTATAATTTTTCACAGGCAAAAATTAACCGATTTCAACAAACATTTGTTTTCTCAAACGTAGTAGTGACATTGAGGAATCTGATTTCATAGTTGGATAGAGCATACTCGAGTACATATAGTCACATAGACGTTCCTTCTGTCGAGAGTCTAAACTGATAGAGAATGAACAAACAACTGGACGCGAACAGGTGAGTCTATAATTTTTCACAGCACTGTATATTCGATTTGTCTATGCCACTTTAAGCGCAGAAGAAGGAAGACGAGATATAACGGGTGCGACAGAATAAATGCGCCTCTCAGTATTTTGACAATATCTTTCTCCAATTGTTACGTATATACTTGAATCTTTTCTCAAAAATAGCCCATACAATTCTCTACAAAAGCTTAAAGAAAAGAGATCTTCCAACGAATAGCTATGGAATTATATCTAAACAACTCTACAATGCTCCAAAATGGCCTACTTTCAAAGAACTTGTTTTTGTATTAACGATTTTGTGCTGCTTTTTTATAGGATCTAAAGAGACTGAATATGCCATTTTGTAGCCGATAAAAAGCTCTGTCCTTTCAAGGAATACTTTTTTTGACATACTTTAAATTTATCCTAACAAGAACTTTTCTTTGCTCTCCTCTGTTTGAGTTCTGAGAATCTTCCATTAAGGTTCATCCCAATTTTTATTTTTTATCTTGAATGAAAAATTATTTCATACTCAGATTTATTACTCAGTTGAAGAAAAATGTTTTCTCTAACATTTCTATATGAGCAGCACGTTGCGAAGTGTTTTTTCTGCAATGCTCAAAGCGTATAAGGAGAATGATCGATGATTCCAACGCGTTTTTCAAGAAGATGGGCCGCTGGAATGCCATAATAATATCCGAATCTCTTCTTTTGAGTTCTATTAGAGAGAGTACACCTGAAGACAGGGAAAAATTGCACTAGAATAGGGTCTTGTATCTCTTTTGCTTGAAGAAGTGAAATCATTAGTCTTATAAAAATGCGCTTTTGAAAGTAGGCCATTTTGGAGCATTGTAGAGTTGTTCAGATATAATTCCATAGCTATTCGTTGGAAGATCTCTTTTCATAAGCTTTTGTAGAGAATTGCACGGGCTATCTTTTGAGAAAAGATTCAAGTATATATGTCATAATTTGAGAGAGATATTGTCAAAATACTGAGAGGCTCATTTATTCTGCCGTACCCATTATAGGCTCTGTAAACATTATTTCTTCTTGCGCTAAATATTAAATGATTTTTCGCTTTAGATCTCAAAGTATCGGATTATACTATTGTGAATGATAGCATTATCCATTTCGAACAGAAATCGGATCGTGGTGGCGGGAGTTCCAATTTTGGCACTACATTCGTCGATTTAAATGATGAAAAAGGCATAAACAGAGTAGAATGGGTACTAAGTGCACCAAGATGGCGTCAAGCAGCCAGAGGTTTCTGTTTAGAAGGTGTGTGCAATAATAAAACATGTACGGCGCATTGTGAGAAAGTAATATTGAAAATAGGATACAAAAAATTCGATATGCTGTTGGATGTGAATGAATCAACTTGCGCCTGTCCTATCTGTCATGAATATGTCGAACCATTAACATGTGCATTTAATAATTGTTGGTGGAAATGGACAGGTATAAAACAAGAAAGTAAAGGCAAAGCACCAACGCAGTGTTCTGGTGATTGGAGGTATGCCGATAATGCTTATCACTATTTTGTGGAGCAAATAAGTGGAATAGTTACTTGGAAGCAATTGATATTGGAGGTGATAGAAAAGAAACCATTTTAATCCAGAAGAACACATTTAAATACAGATGAATGTACACTATGAGGAACAATCATTTTTAATTCTAATTGTATGCTTGGTCGAGATTTGAATATTGATAATATGTTTGGGAAATTGCCCAAAAGGTGGGTGTAGCTGTAGGTGGGTGGATGTAGAGCTGTACCAGCTTGCATGCCTATTAAGAGATAAACCCACACCCTCACCCACACCCACACCCACACCCACCCACACCCACACCCACACCCACACCTTCTTCTTCTGTTTCACAATCACTTTCAACTTGTTGAACTGTATTTGAATCACTTGCTGGTAGCCCAAGTTGATTTTCTAATTCTTCTTCTGTTGATATACTATCAAAAATTGATGGATGTAACGATGTTGATAATAAACCAACTTTCGGTTCATGATCGAATAAAACTGAATATGGACTATGTCTTATCACCCGATGATGGCATGAATTCTTTTGAAACTTCTGATGAGCTAATATTTTTAACTAATTTTTGTTGACCACCAATATTAATTACCTCGTATGTTTTTAAGAAACAGATTTCTTATTCATTTCTATCACCATAACGTTTTAACTTTGCATTGTTGACTAATTCAATTGTTTTGTTGTAACGTTCTGATGTAAATAATGGATTATTTGATGAATTATTTTTGGTTAACAACATTTCGGCGTTGAAACTGTCTTTCCAACTCGTAGTATTAGTGACGGTTGTTGCTATAGAGGAACAAGTAGTTGTAGTCGATATTGTAGTTGTCGATGACAAAGATTGTTTGGTTTTTTCATTAAGAGGTTTAGATTTTCTCGTTATTGCAGGAGATAGTGTAGATGAAGCCATCATGTTGTTTGAGTTTTTGGCGTTAGTTATGAGTGAAGAAAAATCATACACTGAGATTGTAAGTGTGACAATGTTTCGTGTGCATTCATTTATTTATGTCCTATCACAGTTGCACCGGGCGTTCAAGTTGAAACTTCGTCAATATTTTCTATCGAAGTTAACTTCGACAAAATTGTCCGTCGAAGTTGCAACTTCGGCAAACAGAGTAACTTCGGCACGACATATACATATTCACTATTCTTTTTATCCTCTATTATCTCTGTGATTCTTTAATTGGTCTCTCTGTTTTCTTGTTCTTCATATATATCCCATCTATATCATACACTCGATTCAGAGTTGTC